CTGGAACTATGTAGACCAGGCTGGCCTTGAACTCAGACATCTGCCTGCCTCTGCCTCCCAAGTTCTGGGACTATAGGCGTGCACCACCATGCCCAGCTCAGCTTTCCATTTTTATAAGCAACTTATTCAAGACTATTCTCTTTTAGTATTTTATTTTATGTGTATGAGTGTATTGCCTGCTTGTATGTAAGTGCACCTGTGTGCCGTGCAATGCCCTTAGAGGTCAGAAGAGGGCATCAGATCCCCTGGAACTGGAGTTAGGACAGTTGCTAGCTGCCATGTGGGTTCTGGGATTCAAACCTGGGTCCTCTGCAAGAGCAACCAGTGCTCTTAACTGCTGAGCCATTTCTCCAACTCCCCAGCCTATTTTTTTTTTTTTTTTTTTTTGGTCTTTTTGAGACAGGGTCTCCCTGTAGCCCCAGCTGTCCTGGAACTCACTATGTAGACCAGACTGGCCTTGAACTCACTGAGATCTGCCTGCCTCTGCCTCCCGAGTGCTATTCTTTTTTTAAAAAAAATATTTCTTGCAAGACGTGGTGGCACACGCCTTTAATCCCAGCACTTGGGAGGCAGATACAGGTGGATCTTTTGAGTTTGAGGCCAGCCTGGTCTACATAGCAAGTTCCAGGCCAGTGGGGGCTACAGGGAGACCCTGTCTCAAAAGATTAAAAAAATTTTTTTCTTTATTATTTTCATGTGTATGAGTGTCTTAAGTGCACCTGTGTCATGTAATGACCATGGAGGTCAGAAGAGGGCATCAGATTCCCCTGGAACTGGAGTTACAGAAGGTTGTTAGCCATCATGTGGGTGCTGGGAATCGAATCTGGGTCCTCTGTAAGAGCAGCCAGTATTCTTAACACTGAGCCATGTCTCCAGCCCTAAAGATTATTTTTGTATAGAGAACATTTTCTCATATTTTCCACCCCCAGGTCACTTTTTATTGTTCTAAATTTTATTTCTTTATTTTCATTTTATGTGTAGTGAATGTTTTGCCTGTGTGTATGTGTACCTGAGTTGTGCAGTGCCCACAGAGGCCAGAAGAGGGTGTCGGATCACCTGGAACTGGAGTTAAGGACAGTTGTTAGCCACCATGTAGGTGTGGGGAACAGAACCTGGGTCCTCTGCAAGAGGAGCTGGTGCTCTTAACTGCTGAATCCTTTGTCTAGTCCCTATTTGTTTTTCAAGACAGGGTCTCAGTATATGCCATGACTGGCCTAGTACTCCCTGTGTATACCAGACTGGCCTTGAACTCACAGAGGTCTGTCGGCCTCTACCTGTGCCTCTATTTTTCAAGACAGGGTCTCAGTATATGCCATGACTGGCCTAGTACTCCCTGTGTATACCAAACTGGCCTTGAACTCACAGAGGTCTGTCGGCCTCTACCTGTGCCTCTGCCTCTGCCTCCTGAGTGCTGGGACTAAAGGTGTGTGCCACCATGCCTAGTCCTGAATCACATTTTTAGGATTAAAATTATAAAGCAAAGACTATGACTTTGCTAAGGCTCTTTTTGTACGCTTTTTCAAGTGCTCTTATGTTTAATTGATTTTGGTTTTTACTTCTGTTTTTAGAGTGATGTTAGACATTATAAGAAATTTAAGGAAATAAAACATCTCAGGCTAGAAAGATGGTTCAGCAGTTAAAAGCACTGGCTGTTCTTGCAGAGGACCTGGGTTTGAATCCCAGCACCTACATGGTGACTAACAGCTGTCCATAACTCTAGTTTCAGGGGATCTGATGCCCTCTTCTGGCCTCCGTGGGCACTGTATACATGAGTGCACTTACATATATGCAGGCAAAACACTCATGCACATAAAACAAAAATAAATAAAGTAAGTGTGGTGGTGCACACTTGGGAGGCAGAGGCAGGCCAATCTGAGTTCAAGGTCAGCCTGGTCTAATAATGAGTTTCAGGCCAGCTGGGGCTAAAGGGAGACACTGTCTCAAAAATAAATAAATAAAATAAAAGGAAATAAAAATAAATTTAAAAAACCCCAAAACCAAAAATTAATGCCTTCTTAGCACAATGACCTAGTTAGAGAGATGGACCTTTACATATAAAGCATCAGGGTTTGTTTGTTTTTTTTCCTTTGAGACAGGATCTTGCTATGTAGTCCAGGCTAGCTTCAAGCTCATGATCCCCTGCCTTGGCCTTGAGTCGTGAGATGATGGGCATGCCCCATTGCAACTTGGGTCATGTCATGGTGCATGTGAGGTCAGAGAGCAACTTGCAGAAGTTGGTTCTCTTCTTCCACCACGTGGGAGAGGATGGAACTCAGTTCTTATAGAACTCAGACTAACTCAGATCGTTAGTCTTGGTGGCAAGTGCCTTTCCCTGCTGAGCTCTTGCTGGCCCTATTACTATTATTTAAGAAAAAATTTTAAGACTAGACATGGTGGCACACACCTTCAATCCTAGCACTCAGGAGGCAGAGGCAGGTGGATCTCTGAGTTCAAGGCCAGCCTGGTCTACATAGTGAGTTCCACGCCAACTAGGGCTATGAGGTGAGACCTTGTCTCAATTTTTTTTTTTCATTTATTTCTTAGTTTGTGTGAGGGAGTGGAAGAGTGCATGCACATCTTGACACACATGTGGGGATCTGAGGACAACTTGCAGCAATAAATTCTCTCCTTCTGGGACTGGAGAGATGGCTCAGAGGTTAAGAACACTGGTTGTTCTTGCAGAAGACCCGGGTTCGAATCCCAGCACCCACATGGCAGCTAACAACTGTCCGTAACTCCAGTTCCAGGGGATCTGACAGCCTCTTCTGTCCTCCTCAGGCATTGTGTGACATGGGTGCACTTACCTACATGCAGGCAATACACATACACATAAAATTTAAAAAACAAAAAAATTCTCTTTCTACCAAGAGGGTCCTGGGGGTTGAACTCAGATCCTCAGGCTTGGTGGCAATCACCTTTATCCGATGAGCCATCTCACTGGTCCTTATTATTTTTAAAAATTTATTTTTTAACTCACGTACAAATTCAGAGACTTCCTTATGGCATTTTCTAATTTAAAAAAGTTTATTATTTTTATGTGTATGAGTATATTGCCTGCATGGATTTAAGTGTACCCATGCCCTGCAGTGTCTGCAGAGATCAGAAGAGGGTGTCAGATCCCCTGGAACTGGAGTCACAGATGGTTCTTAGCCACTGTGTGGATGCTGGGGAATCAAACCTGGGTCCTCTGCAAGAGATCCTCTGCCTAGCTCTAAACTGCTAAGCCATCTCTCCAACCTTCCATTGTATACCTGTATCACGTTTTCATTATCCATTCATCAGCTGGTGGACATGTACTCTGATTCAAAAGAACAGCTTAGTTTGACAGGTTTTTCTGCACAGTATCAGGTGTGAGGACGTGATGTCCAGCGCTTTAGAACAGGTGGTAAGGCCCTTCTGGCAGGGTGGGCAGTTGCCTTTTGACCAGGTACTTTTCTTGACTCTTTTGCCCATACACTGGCCTATGTGACTTACCAGGACATCCGAGCTGTGGGCAACTTTAAGGACCAGACTGTGATTGTGGTGAAGGCCCCTCCACAGACCAGACTAGAAGTGCCGGACAGGGCTGAGGTGAGAAGAGAAACATTGGATGGAGGTGGAACAGTCCTTGGTTGCTCCACAGTCTGGCACTGCCCAGCCCCAAGCTCCACTGGTCCATTCTGGTGACAATACTGGTGGTGCCGCAGTAAAGTTATGCATCACCATGCCTGGCACAAGACCAAAAATTTAAAAAAAAATTTTTTTTACATTTATTTATTGTGTATGTGTGTATGCATGAGCATGTATCTGTGTGAGTGTGCATGCCACATTTCACTTGTGGAGGTCAGAGGACAACTGGTGGGAATCAGTTTTCTCCTACCAGCAGGTACTTTTTCTGCTGAGTCATCTCCTCAGCCTAAGCCTGAAATTCTTATTAGTCTGTGTGAAGCCTTTGGTGTTCTGAGTCCAGCTGGCCTCACCAGCTCCTCTTTCACACTGCCTTCATCTGTGCTTTGCCAAATCAACCTATCTGTAGTCTCCCAGCTATGCGGAGTACATCTGTAGTCCAACAGCCTTGCACATGCTGTTCCCTCTAGCTGAAATGCTCTTCCCTCTCCCTGCCTGGTTGTTGACTGCTATTAATCTTCAGCTTTCAATTCGAGTCTGAATCACTTCCTCCCATGATTTTCTACCACACTCAATCTTGGTTCCTAGAACTAAGCACTGTCTTTGGCACAATTCTTTGTGACTCACTAGGTAGCCAAGAATGACCTTGAACTTCTGACCCTCCTGCCTCTACCTCCAGGGTGCCTGGATTATAGGTGTGTGCCACCACACTGGCTTATGTGATGCTGGGAATTGAACCCATGGCCTTATGTCTGCTAGGCAGGCACTCTACCAACTGAGCTACATCCCAGCCCCTGTTAGGGTTTTAAGCTTTATAGAGGAATGTCCTGCTCACGTTGTGTCCCCAGCCCAGGTATGACACATAGCGAAGGCTCCAGAAATAATGTATTTGAAGGATGAAGTGGGATTGCGGAAGTAATCCCCTCAGCTTAGGGCCTAGTAGGGAAAAGACCCAGGCGATGGGCCTATTGCTTCTAGACTGAATATGTGCTTAAAGGACAGAAGAAGTGACCTGGGGGTGACGGGTAAACTGAACTTTGTGACTCACTAGGTAGCCAAGAATGACCTTGAACTTCTGACCCTCCTGGAAGAAGTGACCTGGGGGTGACGGGTAAACTGAGTCTCATTGACTTGGGAGGGTTTCTGTCAGGTGAAGCATTGCATGGAGATCTGACCTCTGACCTAAATTGCACGTCTGGTCACAGTAGGAGTGTAGTGGGGAGGGGGAGAGATGATTTAGTGGGCCTGTAGTGTAGTGAAGGGAAAACCAAGTGACAAGCTCAGGAGATTGGGGGATTAGAGCCAGGTTTAGGAGGCTCTAGTCATGGCTTTCACCTGTCCTGTGCTCATTCTCCCTGTCCCCAACTGCCTCTCTCAGCTGGGCTCTCCTCTTACGGCAGAGAGCTTTGTGTGACCTCAACTCAGCCACCCTAGTGGAAAGTGACCCTCTTCCTCGGGTCCAGCCAGAGTCCTGAGTTGAATGCTGACCATGTGCCACCCCAAACCAAACCCTGCTTTATTTTTTAAATTTTATGTGTATGAGTGTTTTGCCTGCATGTATATGTGTGAACCAGTGTCATATGAGGGCATCGAATCTCCTGAAACTGGAGTTAAGGATGGCTGTCAGCTGCCTTGTGGGTGCTGGGAATTGAACCTGGGTCCTCGGTGAGAGCAGCCAGTACTCTTAACCACTGAGCCATCCCTCCAGCCCTCACCCTACTTTTTCAGCTGTATCACAATCTGTGCCCTGGAGCTGAAAGAGAGTTTCCCCAAGTTTCATGGCTAGAGACTGAAAGAGTAATTTCCCTGAGGAAACTCAAGGTGTGCTCCCTATAAGAAGGAGACTTGCCGGCTGGATAGTGATATGGTGATGCCCACCCAGCTGGACAGACCTTGGTGTCAGGCTCAGGGACTGAGCTTGCTCACATGGGGGGTAGCGGTCACACGTGTCTGTCCGTATCTGGTGTTCCATGGGTCCATGTCCAACACTGTGAGTTGGCTTCTTTTCCTCCTCCAGGAGAACCTACAGATATATCTAAAGAGCACCCAAGGGCCCATTGAAGTCTACCTATGTCCGGAGGAAGTGCAAGAGCCAGAAAGTCCTGCCAAGGAGCCCCTCACCTCCACCTCTGTCCTGAGCCCCAGTCCCGACAGTGTCCAGCTCAGCAGCAACATGGACCCTGAGATCACAGAGAACATCGAGTCCTCAGGTAGGTCCTCTGTCCCCTGGAAAAGGAGGTGGGCAAAGCGGCTGGCTCTAATTCTTCCATCTGCATTTGTTGGCTACCCAGCATCCTCCCAGCAGCTGGAGCCCGGTCTCCTGCCACCCACGTGCATTGCTCTTCGTGCTTCCTGAAGCACACGTGCATCCTTGTCTCACAGGGGAACCGGTGCTGAGCCGGGGCAGCTCGGTGACCCATCAGCTCAGCCATGTGCCCTTTGACAAGTTCTCTCTGCTTCAATTTCCTCATCTGTAAGTTGGGCAGAGTAGTTACTAGCAAACTCCTAGGTTATTGAGAGGATTAGTGAGTAGGTACGCTAATATAAAATACATAACAAATCATGATGATGCACAGTTGTCATCCCAACACTCGGCAGGCTAAGACAGGAGGATTGCCATCAGTTTCAGACCAGTCTGGGCAACATAGCAAGATCCTGCTTCAAAATAAAAATGCAGGGGCTGGCGGCTAGCAACCATCTGTAACTCCAGTTCCAGGGGAATCCAATGCCCTCTTCTGACTTACAAGGGCATTGCATGACATGGGTGCACTTATACACATGCAGGCAATATACTCATAAACATAAAATAAAAATAATAAATAAAATATTTTTAAAATGCTAAGCTTAATGGAACTAGAGTTGCAGGTGGTTGTTAGCCGCCATGTGGGTGCTGGGAACTAAAACCCTGGTCCTCTCCAAGAGCAGCTAGTGCTCTTAATTGCTGAACCTTCTCTCCAGCTCCAATCATTAATTTTTTGAGTCAAGGTCTCCCTGAGCCCAGGCTAGCCTGGAACTCATAATCCTTAGTCTCCCTAATGTTGGGAATACTAAGTGTGTACCACCACACCTGGCTAAATCTAGGTTTCCAGAGGAAGGCTCAAGGTTTTCTCTAGGGACAATAATAAGGCTTTTTGTGCTATAACTCTGCACCCAGTCCTCCCATTCCATATGATCCCTTGTAGCCCTTCTTGAAGGTCAAATTAGTCCCAATTTAAAGAGAAAACCAAGGTGGAGAGGTGATGCAACTTGCCTAAGGTCAGACAGCTGAGAGACAGCCTGACTGTGTCTTGACCCTTGGTCCACAGGAACCCAGTGTTGTCTCCTCAGGCACAGGATAAACCAGGAAGGGTTGCTGGCTGGAGGGCCCACCCCTGGCCTGGAGGTGGGTGGTACAGCTGGGGAGGATGGGGAGCTGGAATGTACCTCTTGTAGAATGGCCTGGCCCTTTGCTGGGATCTTGCTCCAGGTCACACTGGTCTGATGGAAGAAGCCTGGTATAGGGTTCGACAGGACACTGGTTGACTTCCATTTCTCTAAGTCAAAGGTTGACATAGTACTGCCTGGGAGGGGCAGTCAAAGTTGGACTGTTTTCATGTGGCTAAAGATGAGCTAAGTAAGCAAAGGATGGTTTTGACTTTTTGAGTTTTTTTTTTTTAATTTAGTGGTGATGCTGGGAATGGAACCCAGGGCCTTGCACATGCTAGGCAATATTCTGACATTGCACTACACCTTAGCCTGGCTTGTTTTTTTTTAAGAGTTAGGTAAGGGGCAGCTGTATTACAGGGACCACAAGTGTCCTACAAAGCCTAAAAAATACTGTCCAGCCCTTGACAGAAGTTGCTGATCTGATCTAATTCTCTCCTTCATTTTAAAATAAATAAATGCCCAGAGACAGCAAGTGGCTTCCCTAAGGTCTCAAAGGTAGCTGATGGTAGAGCTGGGACAAGAGCCTGGACTCCTCTAGCGATCTCCCTTATGTCTGCTGTTCAGGGACCAGGCCTTCTCTGTGTGCCAACCATCCGTCCCTTTGGGCACCTCCCCAGTCCCTATCTTCTATCCCAGACCTGTGCCCCACCCTGTTCTCCCTCTTGCTCTGCCCTGTGGCTCAGCTGTCAACACGTACACAGCTCTCCAAAGTCAGAACTACTGCTCTTCACTTCTCTTCTAGACCTCAGGGGCAGGGGGTGGAGCTCAGTGGTAGAGCTCTTGCCTACCCAGTGAAACTCTGGGCTCTATCCCCAGCACTGCAAAAACAAACAAAAGCATGAAAACCTGGAGCCCAGGGTGGAACCAGATTACATGCCACCAGTGCCCTTCTATGCTTGCCACTGCTTGTCAGCTTGTCCAGCTGACCAGAGAAGGAAGTTGTCCTGAGGGCGTACACACACACACACACACACACTTACACTTACATACAGAGGCTCCATGTTCTAGCTTGAAGTAATGTCATTTTGAGGTATGAGCACCAGAAGCCAGGCCCAAAGTAGTCTTTAGACCAGAGTTCTGGCGTCACCAGAGGGATTGCTAACTCTTTGATCTCAGTTCCCCTCATTATGATAGAAGAGGTTTGAGCAAGAGTGAAATCTTAACTCCTGTCCAGGGTTTCCATTCTGATGAAGACCTAAATGTAGTCAATAGTATTATAGTATTTGAAATTTGAATGGGGATGGAGAGATGGCTCAGCAGTTAAGAGCACTGGCTGCTCTTGCAGAGGATCCAGGTTTGATTCCTAGCACCCACATGGTAGCTAGCTAACAACTGCCCATTAACTCCAGTTCCAGGAAATCTGATGCCTTTTCTGGCCTCCAGGCATTGCATGACAAGGGTGCACTCACATACATTTTTATTTAAAAAGTTTTTTTATTATTTTTATTTTATATTTATGAATGCTATGTCTGCATGTGTGTAAGAGGACAGAAGAGGTTGTGGGATCCCCTGGAACGAGAGTTATGGACAGTTGTTAGCCACCATGTTGGTGCAGGCATTCAAACCCAGGTCTTCTGCAAGAACAGCGAGTGTTCTTAATCATTGGGCCACTTCTACAGACACAATAGAAATAAATTTAAAAATATTTTTTCAAGCCAGGTATGGTGGCGCACGTCTTTAATCCCAGCACTCGGGAGGCAGAGGCAGGCGAATCTCTGTGAGTTCAAGGCCAGCCTGGTCTACATAGTGAGTTCCAGGACAGCTGGGGCTACAGAGAGACCCTATCTCAAAAAGACCAAAAAAAATTTTTTTTGAAGACTTCAGCTCTAGCTTACGGTCCTAGTTACTAGGAAGATTGAGTCCAAGAATTCAGGGCCAATTTTGGCAACATAGTAAGACCCAGGGTGGGTGGATGGATGGATGGATGGATGTTCACCTGGCTTAGTGGCAAAAGCCTGTAATCTCTACTACTCAGGAGCCTAAGGCAGAAGGATCATAAATGGGTAGCTTGCCTGGGCTACAGTAAGTTCAAGACCAGCCTAGGCAACTTAGTGAGACTTTGACTCAATAAAATGTGTAAATAGGGTTGAGGGTGTACCTTAGTGGTGGAGTGCTGGCCTAGCATGTGTAAGGCCTTGGGTTCTATCCCTAGTACTTCTCAGTGTGGTTTTGTTTTGTTTTAGTTTTTTAATTTTATTTATTTACTTATTTATTTATTTATTTATTATTTTTAGATAGGGTCTTCTTATTAGCCCCAGCTGGCCTGGAACTCAATAAGTAGACCAGGCTGGCCTCAAACTCACAGAGATCCTCCTGTGTCTGCCTCCCCAGCACTGGAATTAAAGGTGTGCCCCACCACTCCTGGTATTCATTTTTATTTTTTGTGTATGACTGTATTGCTTGCATGTAGCTAGATGCACCCACGTCGTGCAATGCCCTTGGAAGTCAGATGACAGCATCAGATCCCCTGGAGTTACAAAAGGTTGTTAGCTGCCATGTGGGTGCTGGGAGTGGAACCCAGGTCCTGTGCAAGAGTAGTCAGTGCTCTTCACTGCTGAGCCATCTCTCCAGCCCCTCAGTGTGGTTTTTATAAATGACTGATGTAACCTGAGCTCCCATGCGGGGCCTGGTGCAGTTTTGGAGCCCTTCAGAGTAAGTGGAGAGACAGGTATTACAAAGGGCAGGTACAGTCTGGTGATGACCAGGAAGGAGAACAAGGTCTCATTTCCCCTAGGGCGTCCACATGCCTTCCCTCAGTTCCTGCTTCTAGTGGCTCTGAGGCAGATCCTTGTTTCCCTCCTGAGAAGACTGAGGTGCTGAATGACAGAAGCAGGGCTGGGTTTTCCTGTGCCAGGCCTCTTGTGATTTCAAAATGTGCTAAGACAGTGATATGCTAGATAGTGAACCCAGTGCCTGGGTGTACGAGGCAAGCATTCTATTGCTGAGTTATGTCTCCAGCCCCAAGCTGTGTGTGTGTGTGTGCGTGTATGTGTTGCATTCAGGTGAATCTTCATGTGCTTGTGCCCATGCGTGGGCATGCAGAGGCCAGAGCAGTACTTCAGGTGTCTTTCTCTGTCACTGTCCACATCATTGCTTTAAAACAGGGTCTCTCACTGAATCAGAAGATTTCCATCTTTTTGTCTAGGCTGACTGGCCAGTAATCTCCCAGAATCTACCTGTTTCCTGCCCCTCAATGCTAGGGTTATAAGCATGCTCAGCCATGGCTGGCTTTTGAAGTGGATGCTGGGGGATTTGAACTCAGGTCCTCATACTTGCAGAACATGCACTCTTACCCATTGAGCCATTTTCCCAGCCACTGTTGTTTTGCTACAGGATCTTGCTCTGTAGCCCACACTGGCCTCAAACTCATGATCCTCCTACCTCAGCCTCCCAATGGCTAGGATTACAGATGTAAGCCACCACCCCTGGCATGAAGTTTTTGTTCTAGGTTTTGCTGTAAGAACATAATAGATTGAGATCTTGCATTTAGGTTTGACCCAGTTTGGGACATGGTATGATTAGGATCTAACTCCATTCATCTGCACATAGGCACCTCACTTCCCTAATATGATTTGTCAAAAAAGACTGTCCTTTGGGGGAGGGTGCTTTTGAAAGATAGGAGTTAATCATAGTGTTATGTGCTGATGGGATGATGTAAGAGAGTGTAGGAGGCTGGTGATGCAGGAAAGAGGAAATGGCTTCTGGGGCAGGACATATCAAGTACTGGGACAGGCTGGGTACAGAAAGGTGCGGTCATCCAGAGCAGGACGGCTGCCCTCATGTGCTCAGGGCCAAGCATGACCCTTGTGTTTTATCTCCAACACCAGTGCTGATGTCCCAGATGGTCCCACCACCACCAGCGCCATCCCTTGTCCCCTTGGAAGCTACTGACAACATGCTGGAGCTGTCGCATCCACTTCTGCAGCAGACAGAGGACCAGTTCCTGTCCCCAAACATGGCCTGCAGCTCCCCTCTGATCAGCTTCTCCCCACCCTTGGACCAGGATGACTACCTGTGGGGCATGGATGAGGGTGAGGGCATCAGTGACCTCTTCGACTCCTATGACCTTGGAGATCTGCTGATTAATTGAGTTGGCCCTGCCTGCCCAGCAGTCCTGCCTCTGTTTCTACCTCCTCACAGACAGAGTAACAAGCTCTCTGCCCAGATAGGGAACATTGGGACACAAGGTGCCACCCACCAGGTGTTAGTGGCGCTGTTTCTTGGTCTTCCTGTTGCTGGAAGTCAGCTAGGGAGATGTGGCGGATGTGGGTGAGGAGTGTATCAGGGCCTGGATCCTGACCTTCCTCTTCTAACCTCTAACCCCTCCATGAAGGACAACAGGTACAGGGGATCGTGTTCAGGGAAGGGCTCTGCTGCCTCCTTCTGAGGGGCGGTTAGGACCCTTGATTTTCAAGAAGCACTTAATGCTTTTGTATTTATTTCAGGTTGAGTTTTGTTTGTCCTCCCTGAGTTTTAGCAGGGAGATTTGTTCTGGTTTCTCCTCAGAGGCCCACCCTTGCCTACTGTCTAGGGGGCTTCCCGGAGCCCAGGCCAACTCCCTGGTTCCTCCATAGTGGTGGGCCAAAGTTGAGGAGACTGTTCAGTTTGCGCAAATTTTAATTGCACTTAGGCCTCATAATTCTAGAAATTCTAGTAAGTGCCAGGCCCTTTGACCTCTGCCTGCTCTTAGCCTGACGTGTCCAGCCAAGGCATCAGCCTCCATCCCGGAGATGGTTCCAGTACCTATGCTGGGGGAGGTGGCATTGAGGTTCCTATGGAAGCAGGTAGCCAAGGGAGCCTCCTTCCTATGGAATTCTTTACCTCTCTGCCACCTTAGAGTATAAAAGCAGTCACCTAGGAATTAGCCAAGAAAAGCTGCGGGGAAATGGGGCAGATGTCATGGCTGCCCAGGGTATTTTTCCTCAGAGTCTCTGCCTCATCCTGGTCAGAGACCCAGGAGGTGGAGGTGGGACTGGGGGCGGACCCCATATCCCCGAGTTGCTCTTGCTCCCCTACGAGGATTATTTTGGGTTTTGGAGAGGAAGTTTCCTTAAGGACCCAGGTCCCCAAGCTTTCATATCAGCCTCCAAGTTCAGAGGTGACAGGGAACTTGGTGGCAGGTTTGTGCCCTTCCCCACTAAAATGCTGAGGGGGTGACAGGAATGGTCTTCGCTGCAGACCAGGCCTCAGCAGCTAGTGAGGATATGGGTTGGTGTCTCACCTCTCCTGGTGTGGGCATCAGGGAAGGGCCTCAGGCTTCACTTACTCCACCAGAAGCTGACCATCCAGGGTCCCTGTGGTCCAGTGGGGGCCAGTAGTCTGCTTTTGTCCCCTACCCATTCCTGGGATGGGGAATACTCTGGGCTGAACTCAGGCCATGCCTTCTAGAGAGGGGGGCCACCCAGGGTTGGGGGTCTGAGAGGCCTTCCACCCACCCTCAGGGAGCTGGGGTTCCTCGGGGGCTCAGCAGGGCAGCACTTTTTATTTTATTTTTTAAGTTTGTAGCATTAATTTGATTTAAAAGATGAAGCTGGCTATGTCAGGTAGCTCCTGAGCTGGTTGGCATTTGAAGTTTGGGTGTGGGACTGATGTGAGCTGACGCCCACCCAAGGGACAGTTTGCCTTGTCATGGTCTCAATTTCCTGGGCCCCCAAGTTAGCTCCCTCCCAGGAATGATCAGAGGCCCCCAGTTGTCCCCACTTGAATTTTGTATACTTTCACACTGTATGTCCAATTTTATTGACATTACAGTGTGACACTCTCTTCTACAAAGTTCACGCTCAAGAATCGTGCAATTGAGTTACCAAAAACGAATCTCATGATGTTTTAAGTAAGTTTACAATTCTGTGGAAGCCACATTCATAGTTATCTGTGGCCCAGGCTGTAGGCTAGACATACCTGTTATAGGAATGTCTTTGATCTCCCCCAAATGCAGGGTCTTAGTCCCTCTGAAAGTCCAGCATGCTCCAGACCTCAGTGATGAGGGTGTTGCCTGGTTTGATGCACGTGTGGCTGGAGGCAGTGTTGCTGTTCCCAGGTCTCCCCTGGGCTGCCATTTAGCCTTATGCCCACTCCACGGACATGCTTGACCTCTGTGCCTTGTGCTATCCCTCAAGATCTCTTCTAGAGTTCAAGGGAAGAGGGCTGCAGTGCTTGTCTGGAGTGAGCTTACTAATGTAAAGTCTGGATCATTCTCTAAAAAATCCAGCACAGGACTGGACACAGGACTTCCCAGCAATTGCCTCTAGCTTTTCTGCCCTGTCCCCTTCCAAATCCAACCTGGTTAAGGGACCACAGGCTCATATAGGAAACAAGCTTGTGCCACTTTCTTGCCAGTGACACTTGAGACCTTCCAAGTTCCTTAGAATGCTTTAAAAAGAATGGGATGTGCCCCATTTCCAACATTTCTGAGTGGCATTTCTGGAGGTGCCATGGAAATGTTAATGCTGCTAGGGCAGGAAAGACACCAGCTTTTTCCTGGGGTGATTAATTTCTGCTGGGAAGTTTCCTAGCCCCACCAGCAACCCCCAAGTCACTCGTGTCCCCCAGGATATCAAAGGTCTGGGTTCTAGGATTAACTTGTAAGTAGAACTGGAAATTAAAAGAGCTTTCTTAACACCACTGAAGGTGTCAGGATCAGTACCTTCAACATGATGGCGTGGCCAGCTAACCAGCTAGCGTGGCCACAAGGAGAGGGCACTCTTAATCGCTTTTAGGGTGGTTTGACTTGATTTTCCCTCCCCGTGTGTTCTCAGCCTCCCTTCTGCACAGGTTAGCATTAGAGTGAGTTTGAGTCTGCCAGGAGTGGGATGGCGTGTGGCTTGGCACACCTGAAGCCTTTGAGGTTGATTAGAAGCAGTTTCTTGGCTTCTGTCATTGTATCGAGAGGGGTATACCCTCTGTCCTTGTATACTCAGCAGGGTACACCCTATTCTCCATGAGGTCCTCCGGGAACTACGATGGCCACAAGTCTGCCAGCCTCTGACTTCTGGGAGACATGAAGGCTTCTAGGTGTCGTTTGTCCTGAGGGTGCCGGAGGGAGTCTGGGGTCCCTGTGCTGGGCCTCGATGTGGGCTACGTACCTTTGGGTTTTACCCTAAGTCCTGCCTTGAACACCAGCGAGTGTCTTTGTGTTGTGATAATTGGGCATTAAACAGTGGCAGCTCTGGGAACCTTGTCTTTGTATGTTCTTTTTGCAGTGCCTGGGGATCCAACCCAGGACCTCACACACCCTACCATGGAGCTACATCCCCAGCACTGTTGTGCTTTCTGAATGACATTTGTTACCAACTGAGGGTCTGGTCCCCCCTGACTGGGAGCCTAGAAGTGTCTCCCTTTCTCTGCATTGCTGTTCTTGATAGTTTGCTCAAATGCTGGTTCTACCTCAGCCTCCTAAATAGCTAGGATTACAGGTGTGTATCACCTCAACCAGCTTTATAATGAACAAACGAGCTGTTCTAGTTTGCCTTCAACTGCTATGATAAAAACACTGAACAAAACCAACTTGGGGAGGAAAAGGTTTATTTGGCTTACAGCTTACAGTCCATCATCCAGGGAAGCCAGGGCAGGAACCTGGAGCACAGACCATGAAGGAGTGCTGTTTACTGGCTTGCTCCCCTGGCTCTTGCTCAGCCTGTTTTCTTAGTTCAGGACCACCTGCCCAGGGGTGGTACCACCCGCAGTGGGATGGACCCTTCCACATCACAGACCAGCCCAATGCATGCATTCCTCAATTAGGTACCCTCTACCCAGGTTTGTCAAGTTGACAACCAAAGCAATCTAGCACACAAGCAAAAACAAACAAATCTAACCTCAATGAACTAGGAATGGAAAGAAATGTTCTCAACCCTGATAAAGAGCATCTGTGAAAAAAGCTGAGCGTGGCAATGGACACCTGGAACTGGAGTTACGGACAGTTGTTAGCCACCATGTGGGTGCTGGGAATCGAACCCGGGTCTTCTGCAAGAGCTGCCAGTGCTCTTAACCACTGAATCATCTCTCCAGTCCCAAATTTTTGCGATTTTTTAAAAATGGTTTATTTATTGCCGGGTGTGGTGGTGCACTCCTTTAAGCCCAGCACTCGGGGAGGCAGAGGCAGGCCTGGTCTACATAGCGAGTTCCAGGCCAGCTGGGGCTACAGGGAGACCCTGTCTCAAAAAGACCAAAAAAAAAAAAGTTTATTATTTCTATTGTATGTGTATGAGTGTATTGCCTTCAAGTATGTAAGTGCACCTATGTCGTGCAATGCCCAAGGAGGTTAGAAGAGGGCATTGGATCCCCTGGAACTGGAGTTACAGGTGGTTGTTAGCCACCATGTGGGTGCTGAGAATCGAACCCAGGTCCTTTGCAAGAGCAGCCAGCACTCTTAACCACTGAACCATCTCTCCAGCCCCAATTTTTGCAATTTTTATACAATATAGTTTGATGGTATTTAGATCCCCTCCTCTATACCTAAACCTTCCACCACTGCCCCCCACCCAATTTAATGTGCTCTCATATATGTATAACATGGCCTATAGAATCCGATTTGTGTCTCTAAATGTCCTTCAGTGTGGGTCCATCCACTGGGCCCACCAAGAGTCCCATCCCTGTAAGACACCAATTGCCAAAAGTTCCTTAGGTTGGGTTGGAATTTCTTACCCACTTTCCCATATGTAGTCTGAGTTTTCTTTTTTCTGGTTGCGCTTGGATGGGACTTGTGCATGCTGTCACCATTGCTGTGAGTTCATATGAGTAGCTGACCAGCTGTCTAGAAGACTGTTTCCTTGTGGTCATCCACCCCCTCTGGCTCTTACAATCTTTTTACCTCTTACCTCTTCTTCTGAAATGATCCCTGAGCCTTGGGAGGCAGAGGTGTCCTTTTTTTTTTTGGTCTTTTTGAGACAGGGTCTCCCTGTAGCCCCAGCTGGCCTGGAACTCACTATGTAGACTGGGCTGGCCTTGAACTCACAGAGATCCGCTTGCCTCTGCTGAGATTAAAGGTGGGCACGGCTTTTTCTTTTCTTTTTAAAATTTATCATATGTGTATGAGTTTTGCCTGCATGTATGTAAGTGTACCATATGTGCAATGCCCACGGAGGCCAGAAGAGGGCATTGGATCCCCTGGAACTGGAGTTACAGGTGTTAGGCACTATATGGGTGCTGGGGACCAAACCTGGGTCCTCTGCAAGAGCTGTCAGTACTCTTAAACGTTGAGCCATCTCTCCAGCCCCCTATTTTATTTTCTTGTGACAGTCACTCACTGAAACTGAAGCTAGTCTGTTGCCAGCAAACTCCAGCAATTCTCTTGTCCTCATCCCACATAGCACTGGAGCTGCCCACATCTGGCACTTATGGTGCTGGGGTTTCCAACTTAGGCGCTCATGATTGTGCAGCAAGTATCTACCTACAGAGCCATCTCCTTAGAGCCAAGAATTAAAAAAAAAAAAAACATGTTGCCGGGGATGGTGGTGCATGCTTTTAGTCCCAGCCCTTAAGAGGCAGAGGTAGACAGATCACTGTGAAATGAGGCCAGCCTGGTCTACATAACGAGTTCCAGGCCAGCTGGGGCTACATATGAGTTCCAGGCTACATAGTAAGACCCTGTCTCAAAAAAAAAAAAAAAAAAAAATAGGAGCTGGAGAGATGGCTCGTGGTTGGGAGCACTGGCTACTCTTGGAAAGGACCAAAGTTTGGTTCCCAGCATCCACATGTCAGCGTCTATAACTCCAGTTCCAGGGGATCTGAAGTCCTTTTCTGACCTCTGTGGGCATTGCGTGACACAGTTGCATTTATGTTTATGCAGGCAATACACTCATACACATAAAAATAATAAATATTTTTCAAAAATTAAAAAGACAACTCAGTCTGAAAATGGACAAATGATCTGACTAATCATTTTCCAAAAAATGTATGCAAATGGCTAATAAGTACATGAAAAGATTTGTAGTATCGCTAGCCACCAAAAAATGTAAATCAAAGCTATACAAAAAAGCTATAAAGCACCCGCTCACAAAAAAAAGCACATCATAAATACCAAGTGACATCAGCAATGAGAAATTGGATATACCCTACACTACCAATGCAATTATAAAGCACAGCAACCACTTTGGAAAAAAAGTTAGGCAGTTCCTCAAAAAGTTAAATACAGAATCACCATGCAGTTCAATAATTGGATATAGGCCCAAGAGAATGAGAAACACGTTTACACAAAATATGTTCATAAATGTTCGCAGCAGTGTCACTCATGATAGTCCAAAAATGGAACAGCTCAAATGATTATCGACTAGTGAAAGAATAATAAAACATGCCCACACAGCAGAATATTACTCATCAATGAAAAGGCACAAAACACTGATATATGCTATGCTGTATATGAATGAATTTTGAACATGAAAAGTGAAAGAAGCCAGACTGAAGTTACGTGATCTCATTTATATGAAATACCCAGAACAGGCAAATCTATAGAGACGGACCGTAGATGAATGGTTCCTTAAGTCTGTGGGAGAGAGGGGGAGAAGAGCAAGGGCTGATGGGTAGGGAGTAAGAAAACCATTCTAAATAGATGGATATGGTTGCATAAGTGTGCTGATGTCAATTTGACAGAACCTAGAACCACCTGAGATGAGAGTCCCCAGAAGGGATTGTCTGCACTGGGTTACTATGTGGGCAGATCTGTGGGGGGATAGTCTTCATTAAGTTAAGTGGTGTGGGAAAACCCAGCCCAGTGTGGGAAGACCCAGCCCAGTATGGGAGGCGTCATTCCCTAGGCAGGGGGTCCTGAACCGCATAAGAATAGAGAAACACAGCTGAGCACAAACAGGCCGGCATGCACACATTCACTTCTCTCTGCTCTTGACTGTGCAAATGATATGACCAGCTGTTTGAAGTTCCTGCCTTGACTTCCCCACAATAATGGACTATTGCGTGGAACTGTAAGCCAAACAAACCCTTTTCATCATTAAGTTGCTTTTATCAGGGTATTTTATCACAGCAACAGACATGAAATCAGGATAGCATTTTTAAAAATTTATTTAGTATTTTTATTTTATTTATATATTTTATTTAGTATTTTTATTTTATGTGTATGAGTGTATTGCCTGCATGTATGTGAGTGCACCCATGTCATGCAATGCCACAGAGGTCAGAAAGGGTGTTGGATTCCCCTGGAACTATAGTTAAGGACGGTTTGTAGCTGCCATGTGGGTGCTGGGAGTCGAACCTGGGTCCTCTGCAAGAGCAATCCGTGCTCTTAACCGCTGAGCCATCTCTCCAGCTCCAGGACAGCATTTTTGTTGTTTCTGAGATGGTCTCATATAGCCTAGGCTGGCTTTGAACTTCTTATGTAGGTAAGGATGACTTTGAACTCTTGCTCCTCCTGTCTCTATTTGCCAAGTGATGAAATTGCAGGCTTGTGCCACCATGCCTGGCTTTCTATAAGTATCTTAAAAACCACTGAAAGGTATACCTTAAGTCTATGTGCAAGGTGTACAACCTATCAAAGACAGCACAAGAAAATTACAGGTTAAATTTTTTTATGTGTATGTGTGTTGTATATAAGTATACCTGTGTTATACTATGTTCATAGAGATCAAAAGAGTGCCTAATTCTCCTGGAACTGGAGTTATGGATGGTTGTTAGCCACCACGTGGGTGCTGGGAGTCGAACCCAAGTCTTCCTCAAGAGCAGTCAGTGATCTTAACCACTGAGCTATCTCTCCAGTCCCTTACAGGTTAATTTTTTTTTTTTTTTTTTTGGTCTTTTGAGACAGGGTCTCCCTGTAGCCCCAGCTGTCCTGGAACTCACTATGTAGACTAGGCTGGTCTTGAACTCACTGAGATCCGCCTGTCTCTGCCTCCCAAGTGCTGGGATTAAAGGCATACACCACCACGCCCAGCCAGGTTAATTTTTTTAAAAGTAGAGGCAAAATCCCAAACAAAAATTGACTAACCTGCAAAGAAAAAGAAATCTCAAACCAGTAGGATTGATCTAGGAATGCAAATAATTTATCAGGATATTTACTGTAAAACTCCAAGCTTTTTTCATGTGCTGAATGAATGAACGAGTTTGGTGGGGGTTGTAGCTCAGTGGCAGAGCGTGTACATACATGTACAGGGCCCCGGGTTCCATTGCTAGTACCATCCCCCACAACAAAAGAAGATGAGAAGGGAAAAAAAATGCCTGC